GGCCAGCGACTCCCTTTCCGTCTGGGAAATTGGCCTGACGATGTCCCTAGGAAAAAAAAAAATTCAGAAAAATTAAGGCTTAAATTTGGGAGGCCAACTCCCGCCTTTTAGGCGGACGACTCCCGAAATTAAAAAAAAAAAATATAAAAAATCGCCTGTGAAATTGGGCCGCCGACTCCCGGGAGTTGGAAGGACGACTCCCGTTCGACGTCCTCCCGACCAAAACGGGAGTCGTCGACTAATTTTTGGGAGTCGTTTTTCCAACCCCCTAAATTGATGCCAGATCAAGTGCCATTGAACCCAAATCAATTGATCCCGCCGTCCAGAGAGGGAGTGATGGTAAATGAGCCAGTAAATAGAGTTGTTCACAATTAACTTTTCTTGAAATCCGGCTGATATTGAGATAGTTGAAGTCAAGCGACACCTTTGACAGGCTGAGGAACAGGGGCCGCTTAGATCTGGGAATTGAGGATGATGGAAAAGCACATCTGGGAAATTCTGGAAACCTGGAAATATCTGGAATCTAGGATTCCTGATCTGGATCTGGAAAGGCTTCCAGATTGACGGGAAGTTGTCTTCCACTCTCTTGTGATGAAGAGTCTTAAGCTCACATGGGAACACTCAAAAAGAATGAAATAAAAGCAAAACTTGTGAAGGGTTCCAAAGAGACACATCTTTAGCCTCAGCTCTTGTGCATCTCTTATGTAAGCCACTCAAAAGTCCTCAATCTTGTGCTCTGGATGCTTGCAACTTCAAGCTCAAAACACAAAAGAGTATCACTCTGTTTTTGTGATCAAACCCTGAAATGGAATGCGGGTTGACAGAGTCTGAAGTTCAATAAACCACATGCAGGTTTGATTCCAAGGACGGATGATTTGATGAGGAGGGGCAGGTCACTTGAGGAAGTCAAATTCAGGGTTGTTCAAGAAAGTTTAATTTGTGCGGGGGAAGAGGTTAGGAAGCCCGCTTGAATCTACTCCTCCAACCACCACCATGGCCACTAACTGTTACTGTAGCACCCTATATCACAGTATCATGCAGCAAAGTATCAGCACAGAACAAGGCCACTCACACACTGCTACTCTATGTAGCACTACAGTGTTAGCACCAGAAAGATTGCAGAGAAATGTCAAGTGGGCTGCTATGGACATGGTTTTGTACTTGCAATACCATGCTACTTTTTATCTCTTAATTTCATCAGAGAAAAAAAAACAACAAGTTTTATTGGTTTGAAAGTTGTGATCTTGTGCATTCCAACTGTGAACACACTAGGGGTGTAATCTCACATATCTCATGAGATGCGGATAGATGTTCTATAAGGCTCTAAAGATGCACTCATCAAATACAATAAATGTTATGTTGGATTTGTGTGATTGTGGGCGGAGGGAGTCTAGGGGATTCATGCCATCTATTTGTTCGCATTCGCGCATCTTTCTGTTGGTCCTTTCAACTAAACCAAGCCAGAGATCAGTTTTTGTAAAGTTGGTTGTGAGAGAGAGCCCTACATCTAAGCAATATGGGATGAATTAAGAGATGGCAAGAAAAGTGCGGACTATAACATACTGGATCAGAGATGCAGCAAAACGCCGTGCTTTTTTGGCAAGTGAACGTCTTCTGATTCGGCGCGGTTGAAGGCTTGATAACTGGGCATAAGAGTCGTGAGGATTGGGGACATGACTGGTCGGATGAGCTGGCTCTGTGGTTTCGAAACAGGATCACAATTCTCTCATCGAAATGAGACTTACACGTGCCTGAGCCGGTCTTACACGCTGGGGCTGTTAATGAGGGGTCTTTGCAGCTGGATGCCAGAGTCTGATCAGAGCCCAGGCCCATAGCGACTATCAGGATTAGAGCCTTCGAACTCATCTTCTTCGTCATCGATATCCCAGAAATCGGTGGAGGCGAGAAACAATTTCGAGCCTCGAGGTCCTTATCTTTTAAAAAAGAACTTGGTTATGTTGGAAGTAAATAGGTCTAGTTTTGGAGTCAGCAAGAGGTGATTTTTCATTAGACCGCTCGAAACAGACCGCTTCTTATATATTTAGAGATATCTCAGGAGCAATATGTGCTCACGAACCATCTCAAAACTTGGATGATACTCTTATAAGCTGCCAGCCGCGCAATTCACTCATCAACCCGTGGGTGTAATTTGGCGAACGCAATCTCAGCTAATCTCAGGTGCTCGACAGCCAAGGAACCTGGAGGATCCTGTAGAGACCAGGAGGAAAATGTGGAAAAGGGTTGTCATTGCCAATGGATTGTCTTGGTGATGGTTGTTTCTCTTGGACAAGCTTATCAGCTGGAGTGATTGTGGCGAGCAAGAGAACCTAATTGTGTTGTGGTCCAGATGGCACGATGGGCCCGTTGCCGGCGGGATTTCTGCGCGGGGTGGTGCCGATGCATCAATCGCACCGCTTGCCTGCGATGCATTTGTCGCCAGGGCAATAAACCCCTGGTACATAATATGTAACCCCCCTCGAGGCTCCGAGCCTATATAAATCTCAACCGAGTCGCGCACGCAATTTGCTTATCAACACCGACCTCCTTGACTTTCACATACCGTCGACCATGGCCCCTCGGCCTCGTTTAACACTGCTCGATTATGGCCATCGAGCGATCGTCACTAGTAAGCTCCCCCCATCTTCTCCCCGCAAACTACCATCAGCTCAGTCGTTCATCACTTTCTCTTTCTTGTGTATACGTGTGAAACAGCTTGTGCAGCGGCCTCCGTCTATGGACTGTGGGTATGTGTGGTCCTTGTGCTTTTCTCGAAGAAGATCCTTTGCCCCTTTCTGGCTTCCCTCATTCTAATCCTCCTTGCGAACGTTTTTTTTTTTTTTTTTTGGCGGTAGGCTATCTGGCAGATCCACAATGCAAACATCGCAGCCGGGGCAGAATACATGCGGGTTCTGAAGATTGTTCGTCTGTTTTCCCTGTGTTTTTAAAGCCGCATGTCCAATCTTCTTCGTCATGTGTTTTTTTTGTTGGACAAGATGATGTTCGTCTGATTGACTGTGTTGTATCTGATATGGTTGTTAGGAACAAGAGAAAGCACGAGCGGAAGGCCGGGTGCCCCCGGAACGCCTGGACAAGCCCGCGTCGTTCTACACCAACAACGAATCTCTGTCCTCGCAATGAGAGGCCCCTGTGACCCGGCCATTCCCTGTCGTCATCTTTGCCCCTCCCCCCCCTGTCTCTCTTGACTATCGCCATCAGCTCGAACTCATGTAACAATCCAATTGCCACCAAATATTTGAAATCTCAAGCATCTCACACATCAACGGTTCTTGGGGTCTATCTACTCTGCAAACAAAAAAATGAACGTGACTCATATTTTGCAAGGCCTGCATCAATCCACACATTTGGATCACTACCATCTGTACAGAAAAAATAACCTAATGAAAAGATGGTACCGCTTTCAAATCCTGAATGCTGTGTGTGAGAATGACAGGTGTCTTGATATCCGACTTGCGCCGCTCTTGATAAGAACATGGCCCAGGGTGCGACCATCCGAAACATATGTACGATCCTGCGGCTGGCCATCTGGTCACATCCAAGGCCGAACAATGTGGCAGAAGCTCTTCGCAGGGAGACACCGGAGGCTTATGTACAGTCTAACCTCAAAAAAAAAAAAAAAGGTTATTGTGTTAGATGAGAAGAATGAAGCGGCTCACATCTGCCGCTTTCTGTAAACAAAGGATCGAAACCTGCCGATGTAAAACAGTAGACAGAAACCCTGCTCCTATCCATGCACATCTTACTCAGATTGCAGCCAACAAAAGGGGGACGGGAAGGCGGAGAGCGCAACATGAGAGCTGGTCGAATCTTGTCTCAACTGTGCATGGCCTTCCACTGCCAGTCTCTGAGGAAGAGGAAGAGGCTTGTACGGATCCATCAACCCATTGCGTGGCTCCTGATTACACATCAACTTATACCAGTACCACCAATCTTACATCCACTCAATCGGATTGAAAAAATAATCCATGTACTCTGTACCGTGACTTTTGTGTGTTGGAATTTCGCTCCTTGATCTCTCATTCTCTTTGCGTTTTGCTCACCTGTGACTTCTTTAGTCACCGGCACTCTATTTTTATTTTTATTTTATTTTTGCTCCCACTACTTGAACATCATGTAGTTAGTTTATTTAAGCCACCAGATACATGAGGATGAAAACAAGATCAGTTTTGCTTACAATCAATCCTGAGGTGACACTTGAGCCTCGAGAGCACTTCAGTCCTCTCACTTAAGTTATAAGTGTATCCTCAGACCTTTTCTGCTTTCGGTTTCGCCAGCTTTTCCCTCATCTTCACTTATAATTTTTTCAACATCATGATAGATGGCTTACTCGCCACATCCAAATGGATGCCATGTGATCATAGGCAGTACTTTAAGCTACGTTTTTGCTTCTTTTCATATGAGGATGTAGATCATATTGGGAGCAGTGGAGAAAAACTGGGCAAACAAGAGCTTATAGTGCTATGGGGACCAAGGTTGCCAGTTGAATGCAAATTTTTCAACGCTAGATGATGGTGATGAGGGATGAGTGGGAGATCAGAAGCAAGAGGTGCAGAAGTCTCAAGTCCAAGTGAGTTGGCCTCCAATCGTTTGAGTGCGGCCTATACAAAAAAACAGGAGGCTGATCCACTAGTCGCGGTCAGTTTTCAATCGGAGTATTCTGGCATTCGCGGAACGAAACAGACCGAGCCCAACTAGGCCTCCACGGCGGGAGCGGAAGCGAGCAGCGGAGCTGTCCACGCCAGTGGAGGCCTATGCATAAGGCGACAATGCCCGCGTGCTGAGTTCGTGGATTTGGGTTGAAAACCTCAATTTTCATCTTTATCCCTTTGTAGCCGTCGTCTCATCGATATGTACATAATTTCCTTCCCAGGCCATGAAGGCCTGCTTCTTACTCTTCTTTTTATGTCTTCAGTTTTTTTTTATGTTGTGTCACCATCCTTGTAAGGGTACTTGAAAACAATCACTTTTTGACTCGAGTTACCAATGCTAAGTTAGATTGCCCCGCTTTTTGTATTTTTTTTTTCAACAACTTGATTTTAATTTGTAAGCCAATTGAAATCATACCTGGCATAAAAATGTATAACATGACGGCTCGACCGTTGAAAAGATGGATGAGATCATTGGTCAGAGCCGGATAACACAAGTCGGTTTTGAACGAGCTGCCGGTACAAGCGAGCCGGTTCCGCTACTGGCAAGCTGGTTCCGCTACTGGCGAGCTGGGACCGCTACTAGCAAGCCGGTTCCGCTACCTGGTTCCGTTTCCAGCAAGTTGATTTTGTTTTGAACAAGCCGACCGAGACGTTTTGAACAATCGGTGCTAAGTTTGAAGACACTGTAAAACACAAGCGTGCTCCCTGCAATGATGATGGCAGTATATTTAAATCTCCAGTCAGTCGGTCTAGTCCACCAACCACCGGAGGGAGACCAGACTTCTGATATCGTGCCTGAACCCTTTTGAACGAGTCGATTCATCTTCTTTGTCGTAAGCAAGGCTTTTCGAACAATCATCTTTTCCTTATTTGTATTGACCGAGGGTTTGGTGTCGAGAGGAGTAGTACTGATTCCGATGAAACGATAACTTGCTGGATTTCAACCAGAGGCTGTAGTGTTGAGATTATGCCGGGTGATATGGGTTCCTTTTTTTGTTTGTTAATTATGCAGATTATATACATAAGGTTTTTGACATAAAAAAGTTTATTGGGTGAGTTAGTCTACCCCAGGAGGATTTGCAGACTCACATTTTAGAAAATTATTATTAATTGCAGTTGCGATGTGCAACTTCTGAGTTTTGGCCTGATCAATAAGATCAGGCTGGTCTTTCAGATTTCCGGCCCAAACATGGAGATAGTCTTGAGGGATCGTCATGATTTCAAATCTTGTGACGCTCCCACCAAAACACTAGGAACTCAGCACCTGAGTTTGTCGACCTCTGGCCCAAGTCTCCCCTGCGGGGAGTTCCCTTCGGGAACCGCCTGGCCAGCGCTACGCTGCCAGATGCGCCTGCCGCAGCTGGAGACTTGTGATAAGTTCGGAAACAGACGTACAATTGGTGTTTTACTAGCAGCAGGTTTTAGCCCGGGTTGGATCGTTAGTATACCTTGGGTTGCTACACAGTTCATTATTGTAACATCTTCCTCTTGTTTTTAAGGCTTTCAAGCTGCTTGCGGGGGTCGCGCGAATCACACCTAGTAAAAGGAGTAAAGTGAAAACTTTTCCGATGACTTTGTACATGGTTGGAGTCAAATCTGATGAGTGATGCTGGAGATGGATGGTCGATGCTTTTGATGAGGAGAAATGAGGTTGTGGATGGGCAAATCATTGAGAAATGGTTTCTTGGTTTTATATTCTTGTGCCTCTGGAGTCCTGGACCTGGTGCAGTCGTCAATTTCATCTCTTGAACATTGAGAGACTCCACGGTTGTCTCAGGCAGACAGACAGACAGGCTGGGATTCCAGAGCTCTTCAATGGCTCCGTGCTTCATCCGTTCAAGACAGAGTGACATGGGAAAAGAGTCGCAAAAATTGATATGTATCTCTCCTGCAAGAATGCCGAGGCCGGTGCTGTTCAAGTACAATCCAATCCAAAAGCAAAGCCAAGACATTCTGATTCACTCATGCCCCCAGCAAATTGGCAGTTTATTTTTTCCGGCAAAAGGAAATGGCAAAGATTCCAATCAATAATAGACAATCAGATGGCTGGAGCCTATGTAGGGTAAGGGAAGGGTGTCAAAAAAGATTATCTGGACCCACTGTGGGCTCACAGAAGATCAAAGTTAACAAAGGTCAGGATCAATACAACCTAGGGTTCCGATCCGGACCCCGCAGATCCGGCGAGATCCGGAAACCCCGCAAACCGGATCAGGGCTCGGGATCGACCCAGAGAGATCCGGCATCCGGTCGGATGCTGAAAACCCCCAGAAGTCGGGGATTTGCGGGGATTACCCGCATCAAACCCGTTCGGGGGCCTAGCTGCTGCACCTCAGCTCTAACTTTCCCGCCCTGAACCCCCTTTTTTCACAGCAGAATAGCAAAAAAAACATAAAAAAAAATATCATAGACATCCGGAGAAACCCGGCTAGGTGCCGGATATCCGCGGGGTCAGGGTTTGGGATGCATGGAATCCGGCTCCGAGGGACCGGGTCGGAACCCTAATACAACCTGATGAACCTCACCTGATTTCAAGAACTAGACAACCTGATTTTGGGTGTTGTCAGTTCAATTCAAAGAGGAAATGGGGGGTGTATGTGTACAGCTTACCCAACAATGCTTGCAACTTTTTACAAAAAAAAAAAGTTTGCTTGAGCAAAAAAAAATATTTTAATTGAAATGTCAGTTGGCTGCCTGTCGGAACTCTCACTGTGTGATAGCAGATAGTTGAGTTGTCCTGATTTTCCCACCCTTCATACTGTCCCATAAGCCAAAAAGTTTTTATTTGCAAGCCAAACCTTTTATTTTTCTTTGTCAAAAGTTGCAAGCATTGTTGGTTTGGCTGTATTACCCCTCTCCACCATCAGAATATGACCCCCTCTGTAACAAGAGATGAGCCTATGTGTGAGAGCTTTGATCTGTTTTGTTATTGCGGTTTACTAGATCTCTTTTCCCTCTGAATAGCATGATTGTTGCTTGGTGTTCAGTTGATTGTGAGGGGGCACGGTTTAATCAAAGTAATCCTTTTGCTATTGTGTCAACTGACAGGCTAGTTATCCCTCCTTTTCCACCCAAAAATTGTATGCAACCTAAGCTTGGTCAGTCTCCCATGCCGATGGTTTTACTATGTACACTTGTAGAGAGTAGAGATTGCAGCCCCCATTTCCCTGCTTGACTATGACTTGACACAAGCCCCTTGATTGGAGGGCGTGGTATGGCCAGGCTGGCACAAAGCAAGCCTCCAAGTGGGAGGAAATCCCACCCCCCCACAATTTGGTCCTTTGCTCCTCCACTGGCCCAATGCCTGCTGCACCAATCAAGAGAGATTTTTTCTTCTCCCTTTTTCTGTGTGGGTCAAGTTGAGGTTGGGATTTATTTGATGTTTGGTTTCTGATATTCAATTTTTATTTTTTGTCAATCTGTCAAACAGAGAAGCTGTATGTCAGCCACTGAGTACATATCACAAAACATAAGACCATCTCCACCGGGCCACATTGTGTGAGTTGCTAAATTTCCAAACTTGCCAGCTGTGGCACTGGTGCAGTTATAGCAACATGGTGAGATTTTATTTTCCACCGCAGGTTGCCAAAAGTAGACAAGCTGTATGTGAAAGTGATATCAGGGGAGATTGAAAGGGGAGGAGATGAAGATCTCACAAAGATAACCCTGTGAAACCAATGGACTGGGGAGGTATTTGGGTTGCTACAGGGATTGCACATCTGGCAATGCTATACTACCCGGTGTGGAATTACTCTTTGGTGGGAATAGAGCTTAGAGAGGGATGAGAGCTTGAAGGGCTGCCTCTCTGGTTACTGGGAGAGTAAGAAGAACAAGAAATAAGAGTATGGACTCTTAAAGAAAGGTGTGGCTAAATGAAGATGTAAGATATGTAAAGGGTAATGTATTGAAGATAATAAGTCTGTGTGAAATGTCTTAATTCTGTAATGCTAAATATATTCCAAGTAAGTAATGCTAAATCAATGACCAGGGAGCAATAATGACAACTCTGATGGGGGAAAAATGTCAAGGGCCAAGAGAGCACTACATATAAGTCTTCTGGGAGGGGATAAGAAAACAAGGGGCAAGGCATCATCACAGGGTACATGTAACAAGGCAACAACATGGCTCGGGGGACAGGCTTGGGAATGACATATGTAGCATGCGGAAACAAGGCTGAAACAACAGGGATGGAAACATGACATATGTGGCTACTGTAACAATTTGCCATGGTATGTAATAAAGAGAAACAAGGATGATGAAGAACAGGGTCCTTCCTAATAGTCTGGCTCTCTCTGCTGGTAGACTTTT